ATCACTTGGAGAATGAACAATAGGTTACTGAATGATCAATGGGTTATAGAAGACATCAAGGAGGAAATTAAAAAATTCTTAGAGATTAATGAAAACACAGACACAACATATCGGAATCTATGGGACACATTGAAAGCAGTTCTAAGAGGAAAATTCATTGCTTGGAGTTCATTCCTTAAAAAAAGAAAAAACCAACAAATAAATGATCTCATACTTCATCTCAAAATCCTAGAAAAAGAAGAGCAAAACAACAGCAAAAGAAGTAGAAGGCAAGAAATAATTAAAATCAGAGCTGAAATCAATGAAATCGAAACAAAAGAAACAATTGAAAAAATTGACAAAACTAAAAGTTGGTTCTTTGAAAAAATAAACAAAATCGACAGACCCTTAGCCATGCTAGCGAAGAGAAGAAGAGAGAGAACTCAAATCACTAACATACGGGATGAAAGAGGCAATATCACAACAGACACTTCAGAAATACAGAAGATAATCAAAAATTATTTTGAATCCTTATACTCCAATAAATTAGAAGATAGTGAAGGCATAGATAAATTTCTTAAGTCATATGATCTGCCCAGATTGAGTCAGGAGGATATAGACAACCTAAACAGACCAATATCAATTGAGGAAATAGAAGAAACCATCAAAAGACTACCAACTAAGTAAAGCCCAGGACCGGATGGGTATACAGCAGAGTTTTACAAAACCTTTAAAGAAGAACTAATACCAATACTTTTCAAGCTACTTCAGGAAATAGAAAAAGAGGGAGAACTTCCAAATTCATTCTACGAGGCCAACATCACCCTGATACCTAAACCAGACAAAGACACTTCAAAGAAAGAAAACTACAGACCAATATCTCTAATGAACCTAGATGCAAAAATCCTCAATAAAATTCTGGCGAATCGGATACAAAAACATATCAAAAAAATTGTGCACCATGATCAAGTAGGATTCATCCCTGGGATGCAAGGCTGGTTCAATATACGGAAATCAATAAATGTTATTCACCACATCAATAGACTTAAAAATAAGAACCATATGATCATCTCGATCGATGCGGAAAAAGCATTCGACAAAGTACAGCATCCCTTTATGTTCAAAACTCTAGAAAAACTAGGGATAACAGGAACATACCTCAATATTGTAAAAGCAATCTATGCTAAGCCTCAGGCTAGCATCATTCTGAATGGAGAAAAACTGAAGTCATTCCCCCTAAAATCTGGAACAAGACAGGGATGCCCTCTCTCTCTCCACTTCTGTTCAACATAGTTCTCAAAACACTGGCCAGAGCAATTAGACAGACGAAAGAAATTAAAGGCATAAAAATAGGAAAAGAAGAACTTAAATTATCACTATTTGCAGATGATATGATTCTATACCTAGCAGACCCAAAAGGCTCTACAAAGAAACTATTAGAGCTAATAAATGAATTCAGCAAAGTGGCAGGATATAAAATCAACACACATAAATCAAAGGCATTCCTGTATATCAGCGACAAATCCTCTGAAATGGAAATGAGGACAACCACTCCATTCACAATATCTTCAAAAAAAATAAAATACTTGGGAATCAACCTAACAAAAGAGGTGAAAGACTTATACAATGAAAACTACAGAACCCTAAAGAGAGAAATAGAAGAAGATCTTAGAAGATGGAAAAATATACCCTGTTCATGGATAGGCAGAACTAACATCATCAAAATGGCGATATTACCAAAAGTTCTCTATAGGTTTAATTCAATGCCACAACGGCATTTCTTGTAGAAATAGAGAAAGCAATCATGAAATTCATATGGAAAAATAAAAGACCCAGAATAGCAAAAACAATGCTAAGCAGGAAGTGTGAATCAGGCAGTATAGCAATACCAGACTTCAAACTATACTACAGAGCAATAGTAACAAAAACAGCATGGTACTGGTACCAAAACAGGTGGGTAGACCAATGGTACAGAATAGAGGACACAGAAACCAATCCACAAAACTACAACTATCTTATATTTGATAAAGGGGCTAAAAGCATGCAATGGAGGAAGGATAGCATCTTCAACAAATGGTGCTGGGAAAACTGGAAATCCATATGCAACAAAATGAAACTGAATCCCTTTCTCTCGCCATGCACAAAAGTGAATTCAAAATGGATGAAGGAGCTTGATATCAAATCAGAGACACGCCGTCTGATAGAAGAAAAAGTTGGCTACGATCTACATTCGGTGGGGTCGGGCTCCAAATTCCTCAATAGGACACCCATAGCACAAAAGTTAATAACTAGAATCAACAAATGGGACTTACTCAAACTAAAAAGTTTTTTCTCAGCAAAAGAAACAATAAGAGAGGTAAATAGGGAGCCTACACCCTGGGAACAAATCTTTACTCCTCACACTTCAGATAGAGCCCTAATATCCAGAGTATACAAAGAACTCAAAAAATTAGACAATAAGAGAACAAACAACCCAATCAACAAATGGGCCAAGGACCTGAACAGACACTTCTCAGAGGAGGACATACAGTCAATCAACAAGTACATGAAAAAATGCTCACCATCTTTAGCAGTCAGAGAAATGCAAATCAAAACCACCCTAAGATACCATCTCACTCCAGTAAGATTGGCAGCCATTATGAAGTCAAACAACAACAAGTGCTGGCAAGGATGTGGGGAAAAGGGTACACTTGTACATTGCTGGTGGGACTGCAAATTGGTGCAGCCAATTTGGAAAGCAGTATGGAGATTTCTTGGAAAGCTGGGAATGGAGCCACCATTTGACCCAGCTATTCCCCTTCTTGGTCTATTCCCTAAAGACCTAAAAAGAGCATGCTACAGGGACACTGCTACATTGATGTTCATAGCAGCACAATTCACAACAGCAAGACTGTGGAACCAACCTAGATGCCCTTCAATAGACAAATGGATTAAAAAAATGTGGCATTTATACACAATGGAGTATTACTCTGCATTAAAAAATGACAAAATCATAGAATTTGCAGGGAAATGGATGGCATTAGAGCAGATTATGCTAAGTGAAGCTAGCCAATCCCTAAAAAACAAATGCCAAATGTCTTCTTTGATATAAGGAGAGTAACTAGGATCAGAGTAGGGACGAAGAGCATGAGAAGAAGATTAACATTTAACAGGGATGAGAGGTGGGAGGGAAAGGGAGAGAGAAAGGAAATTGCATGGAAATGGAAGGAGACCCTCAGGGTTATACAGTGGAGGGGGTAGAGAGAGAGGAGGGGAGGGGAGGGGAGAGGTGGGGAGGGGGGATGGTGGAGGATGGGAAAGGCAGCGGAGCACAACAGACACTAGTATGGCAATATGTAAATCAATGGATGTGTAACTGATGTGATTCTGCAATCTGTGTATGGGGTGAAGGTGGGAGTTCATAACCCACTTGAATCAAAGTGTGGAATATGATATGTCAAGAAATTTGTAATGTTTTGAACAACCAACAATAAAAAATTAAAAAAAAAAAAAGAAAGGACAAAAGACAATTTCAAAGTGAGGGAAAAGATTTTTGTCTAACAGACACCAAACCAGATATGCTGACCAAAGAGAAATGCCCATGAACTGAGAATAAGCTAATTTTAAAGCCAAACATCAAACAGAAATAAGATGGGATCCTCTTAGTACATTGACACAGCAGTCTTATGTCTTTAAATTCTAATGTATAACTGTATCAGTTATAATGTATCACTGTAACTGTTGAAGAAGACAAACTAGCTTTTGCAATGCTAAAAAGCAATAAAAGAAAAAATATAAAAGATTCACCCAAATGTGCTGCAAAATATTTGAGATTTTGCATCATCGTTGGGCTTGCTAAATAGGTTGATTAATCTTGAGGTTTCTGGTGTCAGACATTGTGTGAAGCTCTTAGTAGGCACATATTTCTACGTGCATATATTCACATAGACATGGACACACAGACAGAGCACGTTTGGGCCTAAATTCCTTTGTCATGTGATCCTAGACTCAAAGGCAGCCATGCAGAATGTGTACCAAATCATAGCATTTTGTAATGATGAGTTTGTCATTTCAAGTAGCCAGTATGTCATTTAAAAGAGAAATACCTTATAGGACTGGATGTGATATCAGGGTCACGAGCAGTCACTTGCCCAATCACGGAGTTCAGAGCAGCATTTTCATGAACTTCCAGGAGGTATGTTGGTGAAGAGAAGACAGGAGGCTCATCTGCATCCTCCACAACAATTTTAACCGTAGCCGTATCTTTAAAGGGTCCCCTGCTGCTGAAACGTGGGTCAATATGGACATTGGCTGCCTCTACCTTCAGAGTATAGGATTTCTTGGTCTCAAAGTCCAGAGGCTGTTAAGAAATGACAAAGATGAATGCTTCACTAATGACCACAGCAGCAAGAACAAATGAGTATAATGCTGATGGATGAAAGTTATGTGCATTTAAGCCCATTTGTGAGTCTTAATGGGATCACTCTCCATTCCCCTAGATTCAACCTGTAAATTTTACAGGCATTTATTGATATCTGTTTATTATACAAGCTCAGTGAATCTAATCTCCCATTGTTTTGTTTTGTTTTGCTCATTTCACTTGGAATTCACAAAATATTCACAGTCATGAATTCTGCCATCAAAATTTCACTTCAGAGTCATAATAAAATTTTACTAGTGATAGCATGACCTGCATACTAATCAGCCAGTTAATCAGGCCTCTGCTGGTAGGAGATAAGGCAGCATCGAATACAATCTCTATCTGGGAAGAATATTTTATCATTTCTGCAACAGTGTGTGAAATGTAAAGAACTAGAAATAATCATTGTTTAGTCCAAGGAGATGTTTTAAAGCATAATTTAGCACGAATCTCAACAAAGAGTGTTTTCTTATTTTATTTCCAAAGCATTGCTACTTTACTGATTATATAATTAAAATGAGGTTTATTATTTTTTAGGGCCTTGGCAAAGGTCTTTACTGTTAAGTGTTGTGCTACGAAGCAGGTGAGCATATAAAGAAATATGTAGGCAGATTCAAAACCTAGCTGTGTTTATATTTAGAAAAAGGAAAGTAAGTGCAGTATAAATAGAACTTAGTCTGAGTATGCACTCACCGACCACTTAAAAACAACTTGCAGTTGCTTCATTGTACCATTACTGAACATATTTCTGACATACTAACACTTCATTCCTTATCAGGGCAAGAGACTCTTGTCATTGGCCTAGGTTTAATAGAGTGAGGTAAGAGAAGATAGTCCCTTTAAATACACCAGAGACCCATCTGCATCAGAACCCTTATAGACCAATTCTTGGCAACTTACAATACTCCAGATTTCAAGAATGCATGACTGTCAAGATTCAAGGAGATAGTTACGTCTGCATTACAATTTCTCATAAGAAACAGAACTTTAAATCTGCAATGCAGATTTTTAAAAAATAAGAAGCTGGAACACAAACTACCATCAGTGAAGTCTTTCAGAACTCTTATGCAAGCTTAAATATATATTCTTACTTAAAATTTTTATGTTGATTTTTATATTTGAATTCAGATCTAATGAGACTTAGCTTCCCCCTGCCAATATTTTCCAGTAAACAATGCAAACACTCACTTCTCTGTTGATTCTCAAATTACTAGGCACAAGTATATACCTATGAATAAATGATTCACTATCGGCATAATCACAATTTGCCAATCACCCCTACTATAACAATTTTACAATTTCAAGGTCTTTTCAAACAATGTTCAATATAATGGATTCTATTGTTAATTTCTTAATTTTATTTTTAATTCACAAATAATAATTCTATATGTTTATGGGATACTGTTTGATGTTCTCATCTATGTTTATGTTATGGAAAAGTTCAATCAAGCTAATTGACGTATCTATCACATCACTAATTGTTTCAGATTTTTTGGGGGGTGAGGAGAATAATAAAAATTTGTTCTGGCAATTTTGAAATACACAATACATTATCATTAACTGTGGCCACATGCTTGTACTATAGGTCATTAAAAAAATATTTATCCAGTCTTAGCTGAGAGGTTGGACTCTGTTTAGCATCTTCTATTTTTCCATCCCTCCTATTCTCCCAAATCTCAGCCAATGGTAAGTCTCTAGGCCTTCTCCTCAGGATTTTCCAGAGAATTTTTGCAATCACTCATAGAGGGGGATTAATGGCTGTTGTTGCCTGAAAGGAAAAAAAAAGTGGGAACCCCTGTACCTTGCTTGTTGCCTGATATACTTCAGTAATAAGTACAGATCAGAAGGCTTCCATGCAAGGAGGGTCTCACCTTTAGCTCATATAACAACAATGTACCTCAATATATTCTACTGTTAAGTGCTGTGCTATGAAGCAGGTGAGCATATAAAGAAATATGTAGGCAGATTCAAAACCTAGCTGTGTCTCACCTTTAGCTCATATAACAACAATGTACCTCAATATATTCTACTGTCATCAGACAAATAAGATGGCCCATGAATTGAAGGCCCATGAATTATTCTCTAAAGTAAAATACATGTGTCAAAGTACATGCTTCCAAGTTTATGAATAATAGTGGACAAAAACATAAACAGCTAATGTTTCAGTTTATAAAAAGCACCTTATGACAACAAAGGACAGCAGTTAAGAATAACAATAAACATTACATTAGGATTTGCTAGCCAAAGACAATGTGGCTCTGGGTCATTCAGTAATTGACTCAAGTGTCATTATGCTGCACTCCATTTCAAATATGAGTTTTTAAACATTTTGCAACTCTTGAGTTCTAAACCCAAGCTAGGATCCTGATCTGAAGACAGTATTGCTCAAAAGAAAGTGAAAAAAAAAATGCATCCATTTTTTTTCTCAAATTGATTTTTAACATTATATTTATACAAAAATGTAAACAGAAGATTTCATATTTCTATGGTTAATAACTCTTCAATGGGAAATTTTAAGAGCAGGACCTCTGGGAATAATGGATCTTTATGTAACATCAGAAAATCACATAGTGAATCGTATCAATGACATGCTGATCAAGACAGAGGAAGAAATTATTGGCTCCTAAGAGTGTAATCTCCCATGTACTTCTTATTTATCTATTTAAAAATAGCATGACCTACTTCATGACAAAGGTTATGTAGAATGATTTCCAACAAAGTTATGATGAGGATAAGAGTATTTTTCCCTTGCAAGGCTTTGTGTGCATAAAATAATAAGCTATGTTTTATACATTCCTTATGATTTTTTATTATAAGAAATAAAAATGGAAAAATGAACAGAAATTTTCATATCTACCGTGAGCCATGGGTTGATGGCAAAAGCAGTCTCACATTGTCAAAGTCTACATTCAGAGACACTTTTTAAATTTTTTTTCCTAATAGTAGCCCTACACCCAGAAGTAAGGCTAAACTGAGTTTTATTTCATTTCCCATAATGACTGGGCTGTTAACCCATAGTTTAGAGCAGCTAGTGGTAGCAGGGTTGGTCTTCTAATCAGAGCTCCAGAGCTGGCTAGGATATCTGAACCTGGATGTTCAGCCTGTCTTTGAGTTTTTCTTGAAAGTTCAGCTTTCAATAAAGACTTGGGGGAAATGTCAATATATCTTGGAAGATATTTGAGAAAGCAGCAGTACAGAAATAGGAGAGTTATACAGGGAAAGACTAAAAGCTATTGAACTTGTCACCATTGTGGGGCAACTGAGACTGACTTCTACTGAGAATACTCTTAGCAGACATTAAGCAATATGCCTCAGAATACTAACTGTCCATCAACTTTTGTTCCCAATTGGTTGAGAGTTCCCTTCTGGGCTTTGACTTTCTTTAATAGCTGGAGTGCCCTGTACAAAGACGGAGTTAGCTTTCTCTAAGCTTTCCCTAAGCTCTTTCCCTAAGCTCTCGGGGCTTAGGGAAAGTCACTGAGGAATAGACAAAGAGAGAAATATCAGGTAAGATGGGAGGTCAGCACCATCATGGTAGCTGTTTACCTGAGCTTCAGCTGAAATGTGAAGTGGGCCCAATGGATTAGAGGTGCTAAAAGGATCCTAATAGTCATCATGTTTTACAAGGAAAAGCCAAATGCCTACCAACTCTAAGATTCTGTCAGTCCAAGCTCAAGTTTGTGGATGGTATTTTAAAGATGAGCAAAACCTTCCTTGGCTTACCTTTCTTAGTCGTATAATGCCATCCTGGGCCTGGGCGTCAGAGGTGATTTCAAAGAGTGCTGTTCCATCTCCGTCAATGATGTCATAAGAGGACTGTGCATTTTCACCAACATCCTGGTCATTGGCCTTGACCCTTCCTATTGCAGTGCCAAGAACCACATCTTCTGGTACTGAGAAGTGATACAGACCTTAGAAAAGAGTAGAAACACTGAGTGCTGCACCAATGCTAGCTATGTACATATTCATTCAGCAGATAGTGTTAAGTACTTCCTTTGTTCTGAACAATGGAAAAGATGAGAACATCCCCATTGCCTTGTGAAACATGCAGTCTTTTAAATAAAGAGAGACAAATATTTCCCAGAACAGTGAACTCTTTTTTTCAAGATTCTTCTGAGATTTGGGATTTGTTCAACCATGTTTATCAGGTATATATTTGGAACAACTGTATCAGAATATTAGTGAATCTATGTGAATGTACCTTCCAATTTGCTGTATAATCACACTGACTGCCTGTGGACATATTCATTGCTGCCCAACATAACATATTAAGCTAATTTCAGCTCAGAAAGATGCGATATGTAACATACTGAAAGTCACTTTTGAACTTACTTTTATATTTACAGACTTGTAGACCGTTTTTTGATAAAATCCAATTACTAAACTTCTGCTGTGCCCTGCAGCAAGCTGTTCAGACACAAGAAACACTCCTCCTGTTACTAATGTCCTCATTGCTCTGAAGACAAAAATGCTACCTTCAAAACTCCCCAGGCAAAATACAATTACAGTGTATTTTCATTCTCCTATGGGAACAGTAAAACATGTCTAATTAGTGACATTTGTCCTATTTTTATTCAAATGGCTTTCATTGTGATGTTGTTGTCACTCACTTTCCTTGGTATCCTGTAAACTGGTGGTGCTCCAAACACAATTCCTGGCCATTACCACTTTATATCACACCTGCCCTACATCTAACTGCCAGCTCCTGCATTTCTTTGCCTGAGGGATTCCTCTGGCTTTCATATTCCATTTGGCCCATTGCATGTCAGACTGGAACTTCCAGAGCACTAATTCCCCGCAGAAGCAGCCCTCCAGGACTCACAGGAGGTAGTATATAAAATCCTAGGACATTCTATTTTCCCTTTTCTTTTATTTCTTTCTAGTAGGGCAGATTTTTCTGCATGAGATAAGGTTCCACTCACCCACAGTGGTAGCTGGTTAGATTGTGTACCTCCTTTGGCTCTTTATCCTTCTCTCTCTCACTTTCCCCCACTGGAGTTTAATGGAACCATCTATAAGTTCAGTTACTTTTAACCAAATGGTTGTCTTGGTGAATGTTTCTGGAGAAGTAAAACTCAGACAACCAGGACGTTTTAGACAATGACACTAAGGGAGAAATAGACATTCAATGAACTATAAACCCAAAAGGAAAAATTAAATCTGGAGAACATCACATAGTTCTACTTTGAATTCCATCATGGAATCCCTTGGATAAACCAAGGCTCATTTTGCCCAACATTACAAGATTGGTTTAGTTGCTGAGTGAAGTTTCATCAAGCACTAATACCCTTTCTGTTAATTATGAAATAAAAATATCTCTTAGAATCATGAAGTTATGGGGCTTAGGAAGAAAAAAAAAAAACATTTTCCAAATGGTTTTACCATAGGTAGGCACTGAAAATCATCATGTGGAACATGAATCTCCCAATTTGGTCATAATTGGTGTAATGATTCTATTGCTTTCAAACTTTATATTCCAGGTAAGCTTGCAAATGATCCCTTTAGGTATGCTTATTAAGTAAATAAGCCAGCCAGGGGCCTCACCTTCCTGCCAGACCTACACCGGGGAGCCTTGTGAAACCAAGCAAATGGAGCATTCCTTTATCCATTGCTATTCTGCTCATTCTCATCATCTCTATCAGTGTGATCATAGTTAATAGTTATTGCCGCTAAGAAAGGGACTGCTTTTGAAACTCATCTGCCACTGTTGAATTGAGATAATCATTTTCTGAGAAAGAAGAATTGCACATTATAGCATTAACTGTAATGGCAACTGAATGAGGAATAAAAGACTGGGGAAAGGCAAGGAGAAATGGTGCTCTCCACTTCAATAATTTTGTTTAAAAGGGTTGCATTATTGTCTAATTTATGAATGGCAAGATGTAAAAGTTCTAACATTCTTGATGAAAATGCATCTCTATTCTCTCTGCCTTGGAATTCCTTCAGGTAAATTCTCAAAGGTGCTTTGAATATGTCATTTTCAAGCTCGATCCCTCTGTCCCGTCTCTTCTCTCTTTTCTTTTCAAAGAACAATTGTCCTGTGATGTTTCCTATCCCAGTAAAAAGCACCAGTGGACATCTAATCTCTAATATCACATATTTGATAACCATTTTTTTTATCTGAAAAAGGCGATCAATCCTTAGACTATTCCCATTATTAACTCCAAAGTATTAACCACACCTATACTTAATTCTATCACTTCCACTGCTATAACCCTTGCTTGCCAGGGCTATTCAATTTACATGAATGTTTGTAAATATCCCTTTCACTGGGTGCAGTGTGGAGAAAGACATTGGAAGAAGGCCAGATTTTTTTCCCCTGATTTTCCTAGAGATAAACTATAACTCTACCTCCATTTTAAATCTTCTAATGGATTTTCAGTGATCTTAGAATAAAGTTTGTGGTACTTAAAATGGCCTATAAATCCAAGTTCAGCTAATTCCTGCCTATGCTAATTGTCTAGCTCCTGTTGCCACATTCTCCACCTGGCACTTCTGTGCTCCAACTACTGTGAAATCTTTTCTGTTCCCATGCAAGGTCATGCACTCACCTTACCCTCAGATGTTCAATGCAACATTATTCACAGTCGCCAAGACATAGAAACAAATTAAGTGTCCATTGGTGGAAGACTGGTTTAAAAAGCTGTGGTGCTTATATACGATAGAATAGTATTCAACTTTTAAAAAAGGATATCTTGCCATTTATGACAACATGGTTGAGCCTAGAGAACATTAAGTCCAATAGGCCAGGCAGAAAAGGAAATATACTGTCTAATCTCACTTATATGTGGAATCTTAAAAAAAATAAAATAAAAATCTTTTAACTACAATGTCCCTTATCTCTCCCCTGATTTCTTATGTTCTAGCTGGTTTCATCTTGTTCCAACTAAACCTATCCATTCTTCATATTTCAATTTGGGAGTCCTTGTGTCAGAAAGGCTTTGCTGACTCATTCCTCTATGTCACATTACTTGGATAAATGCTCAAAAAAAAAAAAGTGTTTCAGCAGAGTACAAGATACTTAGAAAATAATGATTGTCTCCCCAATTCACTGAGGTGACTGCCTATGGTGTTACTGGGGTTGCACAGGCAAAGCACAGCCTTAGCTCAAAGAGTGGAGAGAGTCATGGGCATTGTCCCTCCCAGATGCCACACATGCAAGTGTGACAGCAAGTTTACAGTGCGTTGGCTTCCCCAGCACAGACACTGGGCATTTGGTTTCTTTTATTCAGTACCAGAAATAATAATTGATCAATATCTTAGTGGTATTTTCATCCTTATCTCAATCTCACTCTAATTCTCAGTTACATACTGCATACTGCATACTTGATATTTGGAAATTTCCCCAATGTTTTTGAATTCTGTAAAATGAGGATAAATATGGTACATGGGATAGTTGTTAAGTGCGAAGGAGTATTTTTTTCATACTCTATAAATTAAGTATTCAATGTTTGCTATGAGTTTTTGGAATGTCACTGAAAATTATAATATAAATTCAAGTGAAAATACCATACTTATATTCTCATCTAGTGCAGGAAACCCACTTACTCTGTGCAAATTTTGGAGGATTGTCATTAACATCAGTAAGGGTTACTGTGAGCGTCGTGGTCCCGGACAGGCCACCAGAGTGTCCACCCATATCTTTGGCTTGGATAACAACCAGGTACTCCTCCTTGGCTTCTCTGTCCATGTTGGGAAGAGCAGTTTTTATAATAGCTGAGGGAGAAAAATGGGGAGAATGACTTTCAGGCAGAGTTCATTCAGCAATGTATGCAACAAACACAAACACACTTGTGCTTATATCATGCACCCACTCAGATATTTTCCATTTCTGTTGACATTTAACTGGTCTCTATCTGTGATAGCAACACTGAGAAAGATTGTAGTCAGAAATATCTCTAGATAACTTGAGAAAGCCCATACAAAGAACTTGTGAAAATATACATTAGAAAGGAAAATGCCTAACAAATGAAATTATAAATCATAACGGAACCTATTTCCACCCAGGAAAACCCTGGAAGTGAAAGAATCCTATAATTTATCATAGACCCCCAATTCCCCTACAAGATGAGTGAATAGACAAATAGCTTAAAGGTTCTATGGTCAAAGATAAATTATTCTGAAGCTACAAATACATTAGAAAGACGAAAGAAATAAAAGCATTACTAGAATCAACTCAGATGCATAAAACACCAATCAGAACTAATCTACTCAAGTTTCTAAATGTTAAGGTACTGTTGAATTACATTTATGTTTTAATGGCTTAGTTGTCTCTTTTACTATGAAGTTAAAATATTGCAAAACATAGGAAGCTGTAGAAAAGAGAAACCGCAAGTAAAACAAAATCACCAAGATATGATAAAATTGTCCATGCTAAATCTTAAAGAGGTTGTTTTTTTTGTTTTTTTTTTTTTTAGGCTTCCCGTGAGTCTGTTTCACTAGTTATTTAATATTCAGGTTAAAGATTTTAAATTTGCTTATATAATCCTGAAGTTATTTCGAATATCTTTATTTAGCTCTCTCCCAACCACTACACCTTTTTTCATTGAAAATATTGCTGACATTCTGTTATGCATAATCACAAAGCCATTAAGTATATACACAACATGAATGTGCATATGTGCATAGAAATATTTAACCTCAAATGTGAGCATGATCAGACATCTCCCTGAAGCTGTTTATTCCTAATGATGGATGTTTTTGAGAAACTTGTTTGCCAGTATATAGTAGTGCACATCAGTACTTCTTAACAGCTGCACAATTTTTCATTATATGAATATGCTACAAGTAACTTAAGCATTTCCCCATTCCCACATTGATGGATATTTCATTTTTCCCATTTTGGAAACCTATAAGATATATTATCATGCTACTATAGTTTTCTATTTTCTACATTCTAACTTAACTTTGGGCCATAAGGTGCCAATCCCTGTTATTAACCGTCCATGATAAAAAATATTATGACTAGCCCAGAATATTTCTATCAAATAAATGTATATTACATCTCTGGCTCAAGTGAAAGAAAGCTATCAAAATTAAAGATAGTCCCTTCCACTTACACTAGTCCCAGGACACCATAAATGTTCAATTCAAATTGAAGATAAGGCACTTTCTTGGCAAATTCTGAAGTTGCAATACTATCTGTGTTTGTGTGTGTGTGTGTGTGTGTGTGTGTGTGTGTATGCCCGCGCATGCTTTGGACATGTGTGTGTGTGTGTATACCCATGCATGCTCTAATGAAATTATTAGTTTGTAAGAGGTTTTCATAGAGATCAAGTCCCTGAATCATCTGAGCAGCAAGCGAGGTGCAAGAATGGTCAGGGAAATCTACTCCCTCCAATCCCTGAGCAGGCTCTAGGAAGAGCTGTGAGTTCTTATTGCTTTATTAGACCTTGGTGCCACTTTTCTATCGGGGTTCACCTTTCAGACAGCACTCCGTTTGGAAACATTTACAGTTATATAATGATACCTTTTAATATAATTATTTGTTTCAGGATTTGATCATATCATAATACAATTAAGAGATGATACCTATATGGTTAAAAACAAAACAAAAATAGTGAAAATAGAAATATAGCAACATATCAGGCTTAGGGGACTGTAAGGTTTTTTTGAATGGAAAATAAACAAGAAAAAAACCCACAATGACAACAAAAACTCATCATTAATATGCTGAGACACCAAGGTAACTATTCTGCTGTGGGTATGTATTTTCTTAACCCAAGTTATACTGATTATGGACTCAATTTTAGTTTTACTCCTTAACATACTTTTCATGAATGGTGATAAAGTTTACATAGTACTATATTCTAAGGTCATCACAAATTGAAGCCATACATTGGACATTGGAACTGGACATGAGACTTATAAAAATTATAGGAAAATCATATAATTGTCCAAGGAAGGTAGCAATATTTTTCAATAAAATTAAGAGGTTCAGGTGCATCCATAAGGCCTCTCAGGTTATTTGTGTAGAAGAATGCCTTCAACTTCTCAGAGTCAGAACAGATTAGGATATATTTTTTCTCATCATTTGCATATATAGATATAGATATATAAACAGATAAACAGATAGATAGATACAAAGGCTAAAAAAACAGTTCATTGGTAATGTTTTTCAGATACCTGGGGTTGAAATAGTTTTGTGGCTCAGTTCAAAAGAGCACACCTCAGTTAGTGTTAATGAATTCTATCAGAATGGGAGTGAGATATTACAGTGGAGGGTCCTGCTTATCAAATAGGAGAAGAAATGCTTCATGAGTCTCTGCCAGGTATAGAATTCCTTTGTGCTCTCCATCCTTGAGATGCACAGTTGCATGCCACCCAAGTTTCATCTGTGTTAACAAATTTGAATCCCCTTATGAAAGTTCCCATATAACTGTTAAGCCATGGTTTCTTATTCTCACACTTAGTAGCTTTGTGACCATGAAAAAGATTTAGGAGACCCATCAGGACTCACTACTGCAGCCTGTCTAATGATGATAATAGCCAGATTTTCATGGTAGGCATTCTAAAATTATGTAAGTAAATTCCATCAAAGTTCTTGACAGATAGTAGTAACCTAAACATGGTGTTTCCTTCCCCCTTTTCTGGGTCCTATCAGAATTATTAATATTTATCTAGACAATATTTGCTGTATACTCCAGTTTTTCTTCCATATCCACAATCCTTCCTCTCTACTTACTCATCATGAAAGGGTAAGCTTAAAAAATTGCTTCAAGGAAATCTCCTACTTTCTAAATCTCTTTGGGATTACAACAGTCCTAGAATATCCTAGGAGACTAAGACTGAAGGAGGGAAAAGTTCCAGACCTTTCTAAAACATTTCTCCCATGCTTGGTAACTCTAGACATTATTTGACTATATTGTTATAGGTTTCTCATTTTCTTGCTCCTTACTTTCTAAGAATGATGATGTTGCCTCTGTTGTAGGCTTTGGGACGCGTCTTTGACAATCTTTACTAACCAGGTCATGCCTTTGTCATTAGTCCTTTGTTAAATTCTCTTTAATCAAGCCATTTCAAGAAGGGCCTTAAAAGACATGTTTAGGACACTGGTGCTTTATTCAAATATCAAGCATATTGACAACATGGCGGCCCTCAGTACAAAATCCTTTGATGTCACAATGTCTCCTGGTGCAGAGGCTAGCTCTTGAGGAGCAGGGCTGGTATGTGTTTCCTTACTGGTACAGTGGGAATAATGCTTACTAAGTTAAATGAGTTGCTCATGATGACCCAGCTAGGATGCTGTACATCTAGGATTCTTCATAGCTCTTCCTTGCTACAACATTGGAGTAGGTTTCTGATAGCAAAGGTAAGCAGGGAGTTTCTGTGGGCATTCTTTAGCACATGCAGCACACTTAATTGGCCTCAGTTAAAACCATGTAATGAACAGCATGAGCCCACTGTCTCTGGCCTCAACCCTACAACTAGCAGTAACTCATTACAAAATCTAAGACAGAATTTCTATAACTTTTCTTTGTTTTTCAGCTACCTTGACTATGAAGGCAGGATAGGAAAAAACACAAGTGCACTTGATCTTTCTTTGTGTGTGTGTGTGTATGTGTGTGTGTGTGTGTGTGTGTGTGTGTGTGTGTTGGGTCTTAACTACACACATTCATTGACATTTTTAGTCCTATTCAAAAGGCAGATCATTTCACCTTCAAGATATTACAAAACATTGATAACCTCATAAAACAGAAGATTAAATTTGCATTAAAACTCTATTTCTTCTCCTCTGCTTTGGTTCCCATGTTAGTAGCTTTAAGCTGTTTATGGACAAGAGGGAGAACTTCCCTGTTGTTAAAATTATTGTTGATATTTAAACTGCCTAATACAGAGCAGAAAATATGGTAATTAGGACACACTGTGTTTCCTCTTGGATTTGAGAAGTCCAAAATTTTGACCTATGAATACTAAAAAGTGACTTAAATCTTCAATTAAAGGGCATTTCTTATCCATTTCTGACTTTGATTTTAAACAGGCAGATAGGAGATTCCTATTGCTTCTTTGCCAAATAAACAATTTAAAAACATTCTAGTTTTAATAAATTTCCATTGCCCAAGACTGGAAAACATTCCTCTTTTTCATAGTGATGGGCAAGCAGCAGTAGAGTTCATGGCCCTCTGCACGCTGACAGTAACACACTTTCAATGCCAGGCAACATGTTCATGAGCTTACGTGTGGTATGTCCATTATATCAATATGACAATAAAGTAGGGCTTTCAGCTTTTTAACCAGCTTATGATGAATGTTCCTCCTCCCCTGGGACAATCAACAAAATTCCCTGATGTACATATTTGATAAGTAACCTAAATAATGTGATAAATAACATGGCAGCCCTCAGTACAAAATACTTTGATGTCACAATGTCACAATAACCTCATATCATAATATACAAAATCAACTTAGATCTTCTTTTAAGCCATGGAAATTCAAGTACAACTTTGAGTTGATACAATAAATTGCATCTTATTATACCTTCCTTTTTTAATTTTTATAAATTTCCAATTCAGCATTGGTTCTAGGGTTGAGATTTAGACTTTCTCATAACTATACAGCATTGGGGCTAAGTCACAGAACATCCCTGGGACACGCTTTTTTCTTGAAAATTAAGGACCCAAACATTTTGCAATTTTGAAAAGGGTGAACCACAACTGGTATTAGGAGGATCTGAGTTGGCCTTGCTAGATTCTTTGCAGTATTAACTGCATAGTAAA